AGTTTTACATTTTGTCGTATTCAGCACTCAAGACCAGGCTTTGATTTGAGTTTTCCATTTGTGGTTTCAATTCTGAGCAATCTCTAAAGGGCTCCTTCTCCCGCACACAGCACCCCGCCCCTGTTTTGGGAAGTGCTGTGGGTTCTGAGTCATTTCATGTTTGGTCTGTGGCTTTTATACTTAAAACAAGATCTTAGCTGACTGTGATGCTTTTGGGTTATCCATGCTTTTGTTCAAAACTTCGTAAACACTGCTTCATTGTATTTAGGGATTTACTGTCACTAGGGAGAAGTCAGGGGAAACTTGGCCTTTCTCTTCCTTCATGGTGATTCGTGGTTTTGCTTGGGTATCTGATGAGTACTGTGTCTCTGAAGTTCAGCAGAGGGTCACTGAAAGAGAGGAAGACCTTCTGTGTGCTGGTCTGACCCAGTGGCTGCAGCCGTGGGCATTGTGAGGATGGTGCCCGACTGGGCAGGGTTCCATTCTGTCCGGCACGAGGTCTCTGGGAGTTGGAACTGACTGCCTTCACCAGGGGGTGTCTTGGTGTTTAGTGTGATACAAGTGTCGGTGTCCTCAGTGAGGTAATTCATGGTGTCACTGCCGACCCCCCCCCATCACACACACACCCACACACACACCAGACCATACAGAGTCCTTAGTAATGTTTATTACACGTTTTAATCGTGGAATAATACAGGATAACTAGACATTGCTTACATTTAGTGCTTCTTAGATTATTTGAATACTAACAACAGAATTACTTCCTAAGAACTTTCTGCATTGAGTGATTAGTTATGCAGTTGTTAGTAATTGAGCAGAACTCTTTAAATTGTTCTTCTTTTCCTTTAATTACTGCTTTATTCTTTAAAAAGTTTTTGATATGGATTAACAAATACAGTTAGCATAGTATCATGGCTGCAACACCAGAACACGGGACACAATGAGTGACGCTAGAACATCAGCAGCAGTGGACAAGAGCTCAGGCGGATGAAGCCGAGCGATTCAGAGGCTTACGGTAGTTGGGTAATAATGGCAGCTGTGACCAGAGCACATTGTGCATGTTATGTTTATGGTGCTGGTGCTGGTGATGTGCCGTGGAGTCAGTTCTGACTCTCAGTGACCCTGCACAGGGTTTCCAAGGCTGTAAATCTTTATGGGAGCAGAAAGCCTCATCTTTCTCCCACGGAACTGCTGGTAGTTTCGAACTGCTGACCTTAAGGTTCGTAGCCCAATTTGTAACCACTATGCTACCAGAGCTCTGTGACCAGAGCACATTAGAAGGTTCAAAAAGCACATTGGCATTGAGTTTGAACCTTGTAGGTATATTGGCACTTGTCACCTGGGTTTAAGAAGTACGTTTTTGTCGTTATCACTAACTACAGAGATGCATTTTTATTAAAATAAATGTCTCCTTAGCAGTCGTTTAGGTGTTCCCCTCCCGACACTGTTACTGAAAAAGAGGAAGACAACCCAGTGAGGTGCTGTGGGTGAAGGGCGTTCACATCAGATCTGTTGGAATCATGATTGTGCTCCTAAAGTGTGCAAATATGGCCCTACATTCGTTTCAAGGAATAGTTCTTACAGAATTTCACATACAATATTTTTTTATGGATTAGCTTCATATTCCCACCACTCGTTTGTCACTTTGTTGTACTGTGGTGACTTGTGTGTTGATGTGATTCTGGAAGCTGTACCATGGGTATTTTGAAGGCTAGTAGGGTCACCTACCATGGACAGGTTTCAGATGAACTTCCAGACAATGACAGACTAGGAAGAATAGGGACACACACGACTTCCGAATATTTAGTCACTGAAAATCTTATAAATAGCAGTGGAACGCTGTCAGTACCAGATTATTGAATACTGAAACATGATGAAGAACACCAGCATGCTGGTACTGGAAGATGAGCCCCTCAGGTGGGGAGGAACTCAAAATGAGACTAGGGAAGAGCTGCCTCCTCAGAGTAGAGCAGACCGTGATGAGGCAAATGAAATACAGCCTTCAGGACCTTCCTTTCTGATGGGGCGTAACTCAGAATGGCGAGAAATAGCTACCTTAGTAATCAGAACATAGAATATATGAAGTAGGAATCCAGTAAAATTGGAAGTTGTCAAAAATGAAATGGAACACATAAACATCAGTATCCTACACATTAGTGACCTGAAACGGACTGATATTGGCCAATTTGAATCTGACAATCACATGGTTTACTATGTCAGGAATGACATTCATTGTCAAAAAGAACAGATGCAGATCAGTCATGAGGTACAAGGCTGTCTGTGATAGGATAATATCCAGGCGCCTACAGGGAAGACCAAGTAATACACTTATTATTTGTATTT